AACTCTCTGACGANCCTTTGCTTCGATTGAAGGCTGTTCTAAGCTCGTCCGTACCGCGACTACGAACCGCTCTGGCCAGTCTTGCCTAAAGGCTGGCCATCTCGTACGCGTAGTAGTTTTTCTGCCATATCTGCTACTTCACATAGACGGGGGGGCAAATCCTCGCGAGTCTAGGTCAAGAATGTATCGTACGATAGTTTGCTCTTCAGATTTAGTTAGCTTCTGGCAATTTGGCTGCGTCGTAGGTCGAAAGGTGATTCCTTGAAGCCGCCGAGAGATCTGCTGATGATGGACGTTATAGGCTGCTGCAGCGCGTCGAATGCTCTTAAACTGGCCTGTACGATAGGCCTGAACTGCTAGAGTAAGCCTACCCTCTTGCTGAGTAAATATCACGTTCTGTTGTTGAGGCATTGTCTTTCGTACGTGAAGTTCGCGATGCCAAGAAAAAGTGGCACTCTCGGTGGGGTGGCACTCTCGGTGGTGGAATACGTTATATAACGTGGTTCACAAGCGAGTCGCTCACCCAAGCGAGTCGCTCACGCCCCACCAGCGCGTCGACGTCGAGACTGCAACACGTCATGTCTCAACAACGTCAACATTTATTAGCCTATCCTGAATTAGATCTTTAGCTTGCTCTTTTTGATATCCAATCGCAACGTGTTTAAAGCTAAAGACGTGCTGCCTCTATCTATAACGTGCCTTAAAGAACCCTATCTGACTGACGCGCTGGAAAGCGCTCTTGACGCGACTGCGAAGCGAATTCGAAGCGCCTAAATAAGCTAGAAGAGGAGGCTATAGTTAAGCGTATTCTTGAGGAGTCTGCGCGAGGATTTGCGCCTACAAAGCCTAACGTTCAAGCAATGGCTGATAAACTACTGCATAAGCGTGGGAGCAACCCTGTTAGCAAGAACTAGATTGATAACTTTGTTAAGAGGACTCCTGAGCTCCGCACGCGCTGGAGCCGTCCCTACAATCACCAGCGAGCTACCTGCGAGGACCCAGCGGCTATCTAGCGCTGGTTCGACTTAGTTCAGGCGACAAAGCAGAAGTGGGGTATTGTGGACGACGATATCTACAACTTTGACGAAACTAGCTTTATAATGGGCAAGATTTTATCACAGTTAGTTATCACAGGCTTAGAGGGATATGGTAAAAAGAAGCGGATCTAGCTAGGTAACCGTGAGTGGGTTACTGTGATCCAAGGCGTGGGCGCGTTAGGTCGCCGGCTACCCCCCTTCGTTATCTTTGCGGGCAAGGTGCTTATCGACGTCTGGTTTAAAGACCTGCCTACTGACTGGGTTCTTGAAGTTAGTCCTAATGGCTGGACGAATAATCAGCTTGCTCTTGCGTGGTTAGAGCACTTTGATACCTATACAAAGAGGCAGACTGTGGGTGGGTATCGACTGCTTATTATCGACGGCCATGAGAGCCACTGCTCCGTCGATTTTCAAGATCTTTGCAAGGAGAAGAATATCATTCTTCTCTGCATACCTGCGCACTCGTCTCACCTATTGCAGCCCCTTGATGTCGCCTGCTTCTCGCCGTTGAAGCGCAAGTATGGCGACTCGATCTTAGGCTTGGCACGCAACCGCACCAGCTATATCAGTAAGGAGACCTTCCTGCCAGCCTTTAAGGCTGCTTTTGAGCAGTCTATTACGAAGGAGAATATCCAAGCTGGCTTTAGAGGCGCTGGTTTAGTCCCACACGACCCACAGGCTGTGCTATTAAAGCTTGATGTAGTGGTGCAGACACCACATCAATCACCGCGACGGGTAGCCGCCTAGGAGGCGCAGACACCACGTAACGCGCGCGAAGTCGAGGCTTAAACTAGTCTTATTCGACAGAGCGTGAGAAAGCGCCGTGGGTCTTCTGCTAATTCACTTACCGAGCAGATCGCGCAGTTGAGTAAGGGGGCTTAGCAGATGGCACATAAGATGGTACTTTTGATAGAGAAAATAACCACCCTTTAAGAGGCTCTAGACGAATCAAACAAGCGTAAAAGCCGCAAGCGGCGATACGTACGGACAGAAGAGACTCTTACTGTAGGCGAGGTACAAGAAGTATTAGCTGAACAGGCGGGTAGTAGTCGTGGCGACGGTGAGAGTGCGTCGAAGAGGGTGCGAGGAGAGAGGCGGTGCGGGCGTTGTAAGCAGACTGGACATAACGCTCGTACCTGCGCAGTTGATATAGATAGTGCAAGTGATAGCAGCGATTCTAATAATTAATTTAGTATATTGTAATAGTTTATTGACTGTGATAAAAGTGCGTGATAACGTCTCGACGTCGACGCGCTGGT